CTTCCTCCCTCCCTCCCTCCCTCCCTTTCTTTCTTCCTTCCTTTCTTATCTGAGACAAGGTACCCTCTTCCATGCGTGACTACCTCCCAGCCCTTGGCTCATCTGTCCCATCTCAGGAAGCCTTTCTTGGCTCAACATAAAGAATTTGGTCTATGATGATGCATGTTACTATAATTTCTTACAGCATCACACTACTTAATTGTAAATCAAAGTTGGATTGTCAACATCTTGGTGACATTTCCCCCCTATTCTTCTCAGTGCTGAACCTGGTTCCTAACCACACTAGGCTCCTGGGTGGTATTTACTTATTGATAATGAATCATGATTTTATCTGGTAGAAGTGTGGCTTCTAAGATAATGGACGAGGTGCTTTTCTGTCTATTGTATAGTAACATTAATCTTGGGGAGCTTCTTTTCACATTTATAAAATTAAGATTAAAAAGAGTACCTTGGCCTGGGGGTGTAGTTTAGATGGTTTACGTAGGATGCAAGATGTGTAAGGATCTTGAGTTGAGCCCTAGAACCGCAAAAAAGTAAAAAATAAATGAAAAATCTCTCCAAGGAAAAGATTAAGTGAACTAATGTATTATGCAGTACTAGCTGTATAACTGGTGTGTGCACAGGGAAAACAGCTACTTTTTCAGTGGCAGTCTTTTTCAGTGTCTCTGAGGTGGTGACAAAGAAGGTGAAAATGAACAGTATCTGTATTTTGTGTAATTTTATAATGATGTCTCTGATTTCTCTGAAGTCCCCTTGGGTCTCTGGTTTTGTGCAGTTGTTAACTCTCTTCTTATAAACATATAGAATTTTCACTGCTCTTTTTAATCTCAGCGTATGAAAAACATTAAATTTGAATAAAGGATCTATGAAGAGCACAAATTTGTGTTTTATGTTATTTCATTTGTTTGTTTTTAAACAATATAGGACTAGTGCCAGGCACAAGTTTGAAGCCAGCCTAGGCTACACAGTGAGCACTCCCAAGGAAAAAACTCAAATCCCATAGGAATACAGAATTTTTATTTTATAAAGCATGTAAGTACAGAATGGCTCAGCCTGTGGGAGAATGCTAAAATACAGAGTGGCGTTGACACATCTGACTGTTGGTAGACTGAGGTTAAAAACAGGATCTCTCAGAGAATTCTATGTCTACAGTTCTGGCACGTTATAAGTAGGAATAGTGCTGATGGTTAGAACTGATGGCTGGGAAATGCAAGTTTATTTTACTTTGTTGAGTGTTCAGGTATGTATCAAGCATTTAAAAGCTTTGAGTTCTTTGGGTTTGCAGGTGATTTTTTTTTTCATGCTATAATATGGTGAGACTGAGCCCTGAAAGTGTACCTCTGCAGGGTATATTAAAATTAGTTCTTCTAATAATATATATGGATATGTAGTCTTAAGAAATTTCAAATAATCACTAAACATGAATTAGTTAAAAACAAAACTAGTTTCATAAACAAAATGTTTTAGTGGTTGAACTTCCAAAGTTATTAGTGATTTTTTTTTGTTGCCCAATTTGATATAATTCTGTTTAATAAAAATTAGGCTGACAGTGGGGTGAATCCCTGTAAGTCCACCCCATGGGAGGCTGAAGCAGTAAGATTGTGAATTTGGTTGGTTTATATAGTGAAAACCTGTCTCAATTTTAATTGAGAATGACGTAGCAGATTTTAAAAAATTGTGTAATTTTTTTTGACTCATTTTACTTTTTATGTGTTTGTAATTACCCAAGTTATTAATATTTCTGATAACTACTTTAATAGGTTGTAAAGGCCCATTATATCGTACTCATTTCTTTAGAAAAGTGACTGTATATTATTACTGAAGGGTTCTGGAGGCCCAGTTAACAGTAAATATTTTGACCAAAACTCATTCAGCATTATCAACTGACCCAAATGGAAAGGAAAAGTCATGTATAAAGATTTAAAACATAATGGTGGGAAAATTACTCTTGGTCATTCATTATTAGAAACATTATTTTCCAGTCCAGGTTTATATTTAATGAATCTAGAAGTACGGATAAATGTTGAACTTTACATGATCCATCCATTGTGTGTTGTCAGCTTGATACGTTCTTAGTTTCAGATACACCACCTCCACCACCACCCGTGGAAGAGCCAGCCTTTGATGAATCCCCCCCTCCACCACCTCCTCCAGAAGACTATGAAGAGGAGGAAGCAGCTGTGGTTGAGTACAGCGATCCTTATGCTGAAGAGGACCCGCCATGGGCGCCAAGGTCTTACTTGGAAAAGGGTAAGTGTCAGGAGGTCGTCTGGAGAGCTGAGAAAACTTGTATACATAGAAATGAGACCTGCTGCTTAGTTTATGGTATCTATTCTGTGTTGGTTTTTTAGTCAGTTTAAAGGGTTTATGGTTTTGAAGTTTATTAGTACATTTTTATGTTTATCTCATACTATTGAACATGTTTTTCACAGATTATTTAACACTAAATAAAAATAAAAAGTGTGTTTTATTTATTTCTATTCTCATGCTTTCAGCCATCATTATCAGTTTTATTTATTTATTTATTTATTTTGACATACAGTCTTAACAGGTAGTTCTGGTTGGCGTCTAACTCTTGATCCTTCTGCCTCATGCTGGGATAATAGTTGTGCACCACTGTGCTGAATTTTCAGATAATTAATTTTGAGTTATGTTTATATGTTTGAGTTTATTTCCATAGGAAACTTTCTTCCAAAGAATACTGATGTCTCAGTCTCTTTTGTATAAGTGTGTGTGTGTTTGAGTGTGTCTATGTCTGAGTCTGAGTCTGTGTCTGAGTGTCTAAAATTGCTTCTGTTAGGTAACTATGACATGGCACCTGGGGACAGGAGCTTCCAAGTCTCAAGACTAATCAATCACCTCAGCTGTACATGGTGGCTCATACCTGCAACTCCAGCACTTGAGAGGTTAAGGCCATACTAAGCCCTATGGTGAGGCCTAAGTCAGCCTGGGCTACAGAGTTAAAATCCTGCCTCAAAATGAAAAAGAAAAAAAAACAAAACTCTAACTACTCTGTGGATGGGGATTTGTTGATGTAAAAGGAAATTTGCAGTTAAAGAAACCAAAGCAACTAAACCACTGTGTCTCAAAACTGGCTGCATGTTAGAATTAGGTTTTAGTTACTGTTCTAGTGATGTGATGAAACACCATGCCAGGCAAAGTACAGAAGGAAGCCTTAAAATGGGGACTTGTTTTCAGTTTCAGAGGGTTCGTCCATGATCATCATGGTGTGGGGTGGTTGTAGGTAGACAGAGCAGTAGCTGAGAGAGATGGGAGGTGGGGACAAAGAGGCAAAGACACAGAGACACACAGAGAGACAGAGACAGTGAGAGGGTGAGTGCTAGATGGGATGGGACTGGACTTCATAAGGGCTTTTTGAAACCTCAAAGCCCACCTCCAGTGACAACACCTTCTCCAACAATGCCACACCTCTTAATCTTTCTTAAGAGTCTGCCAGCTAGAGAGCAAACAAACAAATGAGCCTCTGGGGGTCATTCTCATTCAGATCACCACGAATCACCCATGGGCTTTTATGAAGACTTAGAGAATGCATTGGGTTGGCGAGATGGCTCAGCAGTTATAAGCATATACTGCTTTTGCAGAGGACCTGAGCTCAGCTTCTAGCAACCATGTTGGGTGATTACAACTGCCTCTAGCTCAGTCTCCAGGGGAATCTGATGCTTCTGGTCTCTGAGCATCTGCGCTCATACATACATACTACCACACAGTTACACAAATATACAGAACCAAAAAGCAATTAGAATAGACCTTATAGAAATAGTGGGCTTAACACTTTTGGCCAAGATAAAGAAAGGATAAGCAGATTTATTCCTTTTCTTCAAACAGGATCTGGGGGACACATACAAAACAATACTTTTTAAGGCTTTGAATAACAGGTGGTAACATAGCTTGACCGAGCCTCCCACACAAAAGAGAATCAGTTTTATAAATGTCACAGTTGTCAAGAAAGGTGAGGGAAAATGAATATGAGAGAGAAACAGAATATTTTTAGGGACAAACAGGCAAACATTGAACTTCCTGGAGATGAGAAATACAGGATCTGGAATGACACTGCAGAAGAGAGATAAGCAGCCTTGACCTGGACAATAGACATATCCACATAGAAGGAAGAATAATCTTAAAAAGCAAAACCAAACCAGTAGGCATATAAGGTCAGATCAAATACAAATAGTATTCTGTGTGTGTGTGTGTGTGTGTGTGTGTGTGTGTGTGTGTGTGTGTGTGTGTCTGTCCTGATTGGGTAGAGGCCAATATTCGTTTGGTTTTGTTTGAAACGGTCTCAGTGTGTAGCCCTAACTGACTGGACTCAGTGTGTAGAGTAGACTGACCTGGAAGGTCTTCTGCCTCTCATGTGCTGGATGAAATGCCTTCATACCTGCAGTGAGTGACAGGTATTTTTATAAATTCTTTTTGTGCCTACCACTTTATAGAACTTATTAGTAAACTAATAATTCTTTTTTTTTTAAAGGGTCACTGCATTTAACATAAAAGTGCTTTCAGGTAGCAAATGTAAGAATTGCTGTAATACTGACAAAGTGGCAGATTGAAGTTTAGAGAAGTTAAGTAGGCTTTGTGAACTAAAAAGTGAATAGAATAGTTGAGTTGAGATGTGAACTGTGAAGCTCACAGTTTTCCCTCCTGTCTTGAGTTCTGGCATTTACCAGCCTCTCCTGTTTACTAGCATTCAGTTTGGCAAGTGTAGGGACTTAGACATGTCTACTAAGTGCATTGTTTCTCAGGGTTAAAAGCCAATAATTGTTTTTAAAATTAATTTTTATGATGTTAGCTGATACATCCATTTTAAGGCTTTGTTAAAAAAGAATAAAGATGGATGGGCGTGCTTTGGCTCTCAGAGGGATTGGGTTCGTTAGTGAGGGTCAGTTGTTGTGAAGGCTTTTTCTAGCATCCAGGAGTATATTGTACCTGGAGAAAGTGCACTTCTGTCCTTTTGTTAAAATAGGAGGACAAAAAGGAACCAAGAGCCATTGATTGATGGTTGATCAAGGTATCATCCCAAGCAGAGTACGTGAGGAAGCCTGTGCATAGGAGTTGAAGGTCAGAAAGTTTGTAAAATTCAGTCCTTACACTGCTTAGAGAACATCCAGGTTCTTCAAATATATTGGAAGGCTAGTGCACTGTGACACTGTGTGGACAGTGAACATGATGATGAGGAGTGTGTCAGGAGAAGGCAAGGCTAATAACTCCCTCTTCCCTGGCTGTGTAGAAACTCGAAGTAGCAAGAGAAATAGAAGACAATGTTTGTAGAATCTGGAAGAAAACATTGAGGTGATCATTGCCTAACGGTACATGATGAGGTTAGAGGGAAGAGGTGTGTATCAGTCACTTTTGTGTGAAGTTTCTTTAACATGGTGGGGACAGAGGAAACATGGCCTTAATAACCAAGTGGCATTGTTTTCATAGAAACAACAACCACAGTAAGTTCTGAAATTGCTTTTTATTCAGATTACATTGTGAAGAAGTCACTAAATTTATTAATGATAATGTCAAATTCAACTTTGGTCACCTCAGGACAGATTGTAGATGAGTTTCAAATTGTTAAACAGGTTTACTGCCTCATAATAAGCCTTCCAGTTTTCTTTTTTTCTTTTTCTTTTTTTTTGGTTTTTCGAGACAGAGTTTCTCTGTATATCTCTGGCTGTCATGGAACTCACTCTGTAGACCAGGCTGGCCTCGAACTCAGAAATCCACCTGCCTCTGTCTCCCAAGTGCTGGGATTAAAGGTGTGCGCCACCACCGCCCGGCCCAGTTTTCTTCTAAGAAAAAGCATCTCACCTCATAACAAGACTTAATGAAATATTGTATATGGAGATGGTAACTTGGTTACCTTTTCATTTCTAGTAGCTTGCCAACCAGTTCAAGGCAGTTCATTGGCAGGCGTGGTTACTGATGTTCTATATCTTTGTCCCTGCACCTATACTTCTCCAGAACACTCTTGATGTCTCACTTCCCTTCCCATGCATATTTGTTATACTTATTACTGATTCAGTAGATGAATCCCTCCCTCCTTCCTTTTTTGTCCTTTCTGCTTTCCTTCCTTCTTTCCTTCCTTTCTTTTCCTTCTTCTGTTATGTGGGTCCCTGGAATTGAACTTAGTTTGTCATGCTTGTTGGTAGTACCTTTACCTACCAACCATATGTATTACTGGTGCAAATGAGATATTTTTCTTGAAAAAAGTTCTTTATGGTATGCAGAAGATACTGGAATTTAGAACAAAGGCTAAGTCTTAAGTGAGTGTGAGTTAAGTTATGAGTTACCTGATTTTATTAAAATTCTTTAGGGTAGATGTAATGTGAGATAAAGGTTCAGAGGCCCATTACCAAGTGATTTAAGCCAATACAAATCACAGAGGAACTTAGCCAAGCGTCCTGCTTCTTTTAGCACTTTATTATTATGGATGTATTAAATTGGTTAACTTAACATAATACAATATATGTTTTGAAAGAAAAAGTGTGTGTGTGTGTGTGTGTGTGTGTGTGCGTGCGTGTGTGTGTGTGTATTTGACTTAGCTTGTAGGAATTTAGTCTTCCCTGATAGAGTCCAGAAAGGAGCGATGGCCTTGCTATTCTTTAGTCTGTCTCACTTCTCAGTTGCCTGACAGTGTATCTCACAACAGTAGTATGTTTACATATGAGCATTTGCTTTTACACAGTATGGTGCCTTAGTATAAGTTGAAATGAGTAGCTGTTTTTCACGATCCTTAGATTGCTTTTTCTCTGCAGTTGGTTTTCTTATAGGTCATTGAAGGATGAGTTAAACTAAATGTGACTTTCTTTTGCTTTTTTGCCATTTATATTGGATTTAGGACCTTTTCTTAAGAAAAGGATATTGAGTTGTGTTAAACTGGTTATTGGATAGAAAACATATACAAATGTTAATTTTTAGAAAGTGGCTGTGTATGAGTGCTTATTTGGTTTTGTCTTTCTAGGAATGGTATTTTCGTTCATATCCTATTTTGTTTCCCCCTAGTTGTGGCAATTTATGATTATACAAAAGACAAGGAAGATGAGCTGTCCTTTCAAGAAGGAGCCATTATATATGTCATCAAGAAGAATGACGATGGTTGGTATGAGGGAGTTATGAATGGCGTGACTGGGCTCTTCCCTGGGAACTACGTTGAGTCCATCATGCACTATTCGGAGTAGAGCCCAGTGCAGCTAAGCTGCTCTGTCAGGATGTCAGGTCTTCCCAGATTAGCTAGAGGCCCTGGGAGTTTCCTCCCAGTGAAATGAGTGAAGCATACAACGATAAAGTTACTCCTTTTATTACTGTTTTGGTTTATCCCCTAGTATCAAAAACTGAAAGCCAAGTCTGAACAAGTGGATCTTCTTGCTGTCATTTGTGTTATGCGATCTAGATTGAAAATGTGACCATTTCTCAATCACGAAAGGCATACCAACATGAACATGTAGCTAAAATATGTAAGACCAAGACTGACTTGAGGAAAAAAAAACATCTGGGACCTTTCTCAGGAATACTGTACACCCTTGGATTTCTCTTCCTGCAGAACCTGTGACATTGGATGCTCATTGCCTCTGCTTTGGGGCTAACCTCATGGCCTGGTGGATACCCTTGCCCTTTACTTTCAGTATATGGAGAGGAAGGAACCAGTGTTTAAATACTTTATTTAACTACTTTTTGATTGCTTAAAAAGGCTGTTTTTCTTCTTTAACACTGTAAATCCTGTGTTCTCTTAGCACTGGAGTGTGCTAGGTGAGTTAATCCTGAACTCCCTTGCATCCTATCCTGTTTATAGATTATAAGGATGACAAAATGTGAAAGTCTCCAAACATTCCCAGGGTTGTTACCAGTTTGATTTTAATGCACTGTTGCATGAGCTGTGATGCTGATAGCAGCCAGTAACCCCCTGTGGACCCATGTGGTAGGTACTCGACGGGCGGAAGCGAGCCTGGTGGACATGAAGGTGCCTGAGGATCTCCAGCCTTAGGCACTGCTTCAGGGTCAGACCAGCTATTACTGTTCTTTCGATATTTAACACCCCCCCTTTTTTTTTTGAGGAAACTAGTTGTCAAGTCTCGACAGTCACTGGACTGGGAATGAAAGGCTGCTACTGTGCTCTTGGACCATTATCAGTGGCAGTGCTAGCTGATGCCAAGTCATTTTTTATTCTCTCAGCTATAGAAAAATAAGTATCCTCCTGATTTGAAGTGATTAGACTCTAAAGTAGCACTCCTAGTAATAGTCTGAACCTTGTGATTCAGAGTAAAGAGTGCTGGAAAAGACTAATAGGATGAAATACCCAGTCACACTGATGAAAATCAGTATATATTTGAAACAATTGGCATCTCCCTCATCTACTGAAAAGGACGAGGAAGTAAAGCTGTCTAGCAATGCTAGAAGAACAAATGTTGTAGATGTGAAGAAAAGCAGACTCTGAGGCCACAGCTAACACTCCACTGGTAGATCTGTCATCTGCACCTGAGGCTTCACTGTGCAACTCGGACCCAAACAGTGTCCTTCTCAAGACCTTTTTGCTTTAAGGTTGCAGGGCTTTGTTTGTTTCAGACATGGTGTTGCTCCTGCTCTAGCTTTTCAAATACTAGGATTCTAAGGAGGAGCTGTACATCAGAAGCAGGCTTTTTTCGTTTTAATTTTGTTTTAAAACCACATTGCACATCAGCTATTACACTTAAATTTTTCCTGAATGCTTTGGATTCTTCTTTAACTTGCTTCTAGTATACTTTCTCCTTCACAGTGTTGTTAGGTCATCTTGACTGTCCTCAGGATGTGTCTCTGAATTCCTCTGAACCTTTAGCTCCATTATGGACCCAAGCAGGACTATATACGAACGTTTAACTCTGATTGTATTGGTACATGGAAACTATGAAAATAGTTGCACTAATTATTTATTTAAGTAGTCTTTTGCTGAACAAGCTTAGTGTATTAATAAGACATTTGGAAACCCAGCAAACAACTAGCTTTTGTAGTCACAGAAACAACTAGTGGTAGGCACCAGGAAAACAGCTTACCTTCTGGACCCCTGCTGAATTGGGGTTTGCAGAAAACATCTGAGAAATCATTTGCGCTAAAGACTTGCACTGGGGGTAATCCTTGGGACAGATGACCCCTCTCCCTTGTATTATTGTGAGTACTGATGTGATTTTAAAAACAAAACACAAAATACTGTCAGTTGGCCTTTTCCCCCCCATCTTAAATATTTGTAATTTTGAATTCTATGAATTGTCTTGGAAGGATACTCTGTAACAATGAGCCAGGCCTACAGTAATTGGAGACTTTTAATGTATGTAATATTTTATAGATTGCATGCTGTTAATACTATGAGGTTATTTCCTGTTTTATTGTAAATTTTCCCATTTATTTGCCCATAAACTAAAATATGGTTGATATTAGGAATTTTAAACAAATGTCGAAACTTTGCGACCAGAATGCAGCCACTTTACCAAGACACAGGTACTGAGGGCTCTGGTCTGTCCTGAAATGTCTGATTCTGTGCAGTTTCTTTACCCATAAAAAAAGAAAAAGGAAAAAAAAGACTGGATCTCTCTCTCTCTCTCTCTCTCTCTCTCTCTCTCTCTCTCTCTCTCTTTGCTGTTAATATTTGAAGGTCCAGGATTCTGAGTGAAAATACATTCTTGTGTTTGACCTTATAGCCAAAGCAAATTAGAAACAAAAATAGTGCCAATATTTTGAAATCTAGACCCAAGATTTCAGCCTGCTGTGTTTGGAATAAATATGATTTTTAAACGATGTCTCTTACAGTATTTTCCTTTTGGCTACTTCTGTCTTCCTGAGAGATACTTGCTGACCTTGTCTAGGGAATTAGCACAGGACTGCTGCGTTTGCTATTCTTAAGTCACTGGGCGACAATTTTCATCCCCTCCTTTCCTTACCAGTACTACTGCTGTTTATATTGCCTGGCTAGAGACTGGGTTTTGCATCTTTACAAATGATGTCTACCATGTAGTTGCCTCATTAACAGTTTTGTGTTGATTAAAGATGACTCATTCTTACATGTGGGACATCAAAATGATAGCTTGCTTTTATCTTCCAGTTCTCATTTCCTTTAAGGTCATCTTTCTGCAGTACGACTTGTTTTACTCTTTTCTCCTAATGGAGAGGACATGGTGTGTCCTGAAGTCCACCTTTACTCCTGAAAAGGGCATTGCTGGAAGAAATGGTAGGTAGACTGCCAAGTCTTTGAAATGAATGGAAGCTGTTGACTTCTGGATAGCTTTGGCCAGGAACTCCTCCTGAAGGTGACACTTCCCTAACACCATTTACTTCGAATCAGAGTTTTTGAACTAATAAGCTTTAAAACTGTTTGTCCTGGTCTCACTTTAATGATGGGTTAGATGCTTTGTTTCAGATAAACAGCTAGTTAGCTCTTGACTCAGTGCTTGGGTCTCTTTCCACCGTACCAACTGTTTTAACAAAACGTGCTGTACTTTTCTTTAGAAATAGAGTTCTATCTGTTTTCAGGATTATACTTGAAAAAAAAAATGCCATGTTTTGATATATAACCATCAACGTATTCAGATTGCTTAAAAGAATTTAAGTGCAACCCGAGTGGAAATAACCATTCACGCCTTCTAAAACTTCATTCATAAATACCTTTCTATAAAGCTGTGTGTAGCAAGAATGCATTGTGTTTAGTTCTGTGCAGGCAGGACCAGAATGGAGCACAACAGAGTACACAGCTTTCTTTACTTCTGAGAGCCTTACAAAGTTATAAAATGGAGGCATTGAGCTGGCTGTCTAAATTTACTTTGTGCTCTTTGTTTTATTGAGAATCTCTATTTAAAAAAAATATCAACAAATGAAATGACAGAGCCTAGCTATGTAAATGACCTTCCTAAAGATGTTAATTTTTGTTTTTTTTTTTTAAAAAAAGCTTATTTTCACATTAAACTGAAGCCTCTTTTGCAAGTTCAGAAATTTATGGAAAAGCAGTTTTTAATCATATTTTATGTTCATGTACCTTTTTTTCTTAATAAAATGGTTTACAAAAAGAATGTAAACAACTTATGATCTGGCAGTTACACTTACAGTTCCAGAAAGTTGGTGGTACTAAGTAAAAAACCATTCGGGCAACTTGAGCAGACAACTGTTGCCAGTAACATTCCTTATGTGCGCCATTAAGCACCTCCAGATGAATGAGGGACATTCACTTAATTTTTAAATTGTATTTGGAATAATTACAATTACTGCTGTGTACTAAGAACTTGACCCAAATAAAAATCACATGAAGTATTGTAGTGTCTCATAGCTTCATTTATGTATTTACTACTTCTTTCTAAGGTGGTTTTATGCATTTATGTACTGTTCAATTACTTAACACTTAAAATTTTAAATAGTGTTGAACTTTTAGCAACTTTGGTCTCTGAAACTTTGTTTTAAAGACAACTGCTCATTTTAATTATGAACTGCTTTTTCCAGATACAACTGAATTTTGTTAAGTGTAAATTTTTCCATCATTGGAATGGGGTTGTTTTAAAACAAAGTGTGGGTTAAGACTCCAGAAAAAATGACAACAGAAGTTCTCTAGTGATTTGTGTGATGTACAGTTTATCTCCAGGGTGAGAGTACTATAGTTCTTGCTGCCTTAAAGCCCATGTTCCTCAGTGCCTTTGTCACTTCCATGACATGTATGTAATGTGGAAGCTGGAGCACGCAACTAAAACACATTTTAAAGAAATGTTTTCAAGAAAAGGATTTCTCTGTAAATAAAAGGGTCTTTTTGTCATGAGAGAATTCTGCTGTCTGAAACTAATTGGGACTCCAGCCTTTTGTTTTTATTAGGGTTTGTGTGGATTAACCCATTGGCATGTTGGAGATTGGGAGGGTGCCATCTGTTTCACTGTCGTTCTGAGTCTGCAGTATACTTTCTTCAGAGCCAAGGTCACGCACTGACAGATGGTGAATAGCTTTTAGTTTTATTACAGTTTAATGAGAAATGGCAAGGTGACTTGTAACCTGAAACTAAATGTATCCATTTGATATGGCAGTCCCAATACATAATTGTGCTCCTAAATCACTGTGTGTTCAAATTTATACATTGCCAAGAGAGTAGATGTAATTGTGTTATGAATTATATGTAGGCATATATGAACTTGTCAGAATTACTGCTTTTGTAACACTTGGCAGTCAGATAAGTTAAATCTTCAAGATCATTTCTTAAATACGGATATGATGTTTAAAATGAAGTCTCTTAAAAATGGAATGTCAGCTCTGTGAAGCCTTGGAAATTTGCACATAGGGCAGTATCAGCAGTGAACTGATGTTTCTGGAGGTGCAGATGTTTTAAAGATATTCAGAAGATCTGAATCTATTTACAGATATATAGAATACAACCATCTGGAACTGATGGCTCTATATTAGTTGATATATTTTGGTTTTTTCCTTCATGCAGAGTACATTTCTGAAAAGTGGGATCACTTTCAGTGTTTTATTTGATATAATGCTAAGGGTAACCTCAGTAACGTCAAATGCATGAGTGACTGCTGTACAGAGGCTGAGACGAAAGGTAGTTCCATGTACGTGGAAGCTCAACTAAACCATTCGAGGTCAAATAGAGTCATCATAGAGGCTCTACCATGGTTCTTGAGAGATGAACTCAGAACTACTAATTAAATGTTGACTGCATGTCCACACCATAAAGATTATAGAGAGAATATCTATTGTATGCATGTATTGTATGGCTACACCACTTGTTGATTAAAAAGCCCATGGCTTAGGCAGGAACTAGGAGGTGAGACATCAAGGAAAGAGGAAGGATTCTGGGATAGAGCCAGGCACAGGAAGCTCCACCAGGGAAAATGTAAGGAGACAGAAACATGGTACAGGTAACCAGCCATGGGCAGAATGTAGGTTAAAATAAATGGGTTCTTCTAAGTTATGATCTAGTCAGATCTAGCCTAGCTATATGGCCAAGATATTTGTTTTTTTTTTTTTTTTAAAGTGTGTGCCACCACTGCTCGGCTAATACAAATAAATTTCTAATCTACAAAAACAAAAAAACAAAACCTGTTACTACTTTTAAAATGGGATTTTTAAAAACACATTTATTGTGTTGTGTACACATGTAGAGGGCAACTTGTGGGAACTGGTTCTCTTTTACCCATGTGAGATCCAGGGATTGAGTTCAGGTTGTCAGGCTTGTTGGCAAACACCTTTACTTGCTGGCCCCTTACCACTTCTTAATTGGTAATATTTAATGATCTCTAGTCTGTTGGTTATAAATAAGCAGGACACACTGAGCTAACTGTAGTTGATTTACCTTCAGCATGTAACTTGTTCAGGATACTTTGACACAACAAGCTTTAAAACCAGGTTCTTTAAAAATTTACTTTTTATTTATTTAAGTGTATGTATGCCACACATGTTCAGGTGCCTTTGGAGGCCAGAAGAGGACATTGGATCCTTTGGAGCTGGAGTTATAGGTGGTTTTGAGTTGCCCGACGAGGGTGCTGGGAATTGAACTCTGGTCCTCTGGAAGAGCAGAAAGCATTCTTAACAGTGAGTCATCTCTCCCACCCTACAAAACCAGGCTCTGGATAGTGCTTATCCAAAACACTTGAAATCCTTGTGTTTAAATGGAATCTATGTAATTTTTTTTTTTATTAAGAATTGGGATAGATGACAAAAAAAATGTAACTGGAAAAACAAATTTACTCTGGCTATATGACCACTGTCCTAAGCCATTACAATAGTTTATGACAAGTGGCAAGTATAACTCAGACAATAACTTAATCCAGCAGTAGAACAAAAACATCAGTAGTACTGAATGAATATATCTCTCTCATATATATATATATATTTGTGTGTGTATATATATAGCTTTGCACAATCGGAGCAAGGCACATAATGAAATGAGTGTACATTTATGCAGAAGAAAATAATAGCAACAAGGCTGAAAGAAAACCACAACTTCATCCTTTTCAAGCTGTGCATAATCCTCTGAATAGTGTCCTCTTTCAGGTACATTTTTGTTATCTTCATGCTTTAAAAAAGTATATTTCTACATTATATCTATTTATGACAGAATTCCCACAGCTAGAAGTCAGAGTGAGCCTTGACTCCATTTTTTTTTTTTTAAAAGAAACAGAAGAGGACAGCCCCAGTTAGAGATAATGTGCAATTCTCTGTGAAAACAGTAAACAGTATTTTTACAACACTTAGCACAAGCTAGTCACATTGTACCTTATGCATCTCAGGAAGAAGAGCTCACTAGTGGCTGATAGTAAAACTAGGCAAAATCATTTAACACATTCCAGTTAATGCTTATTTTCTAGGAGGGACTATTTACAAATACAGGAAGAATAGGAGGTGGAATTATGAAAAATGGCAGGTTTTGGTATTAAGTTGTAATGAATTTAATGGATGGATAGTTTAAAAAAAAATGTATCCCTGGTATCCCCTCCTGCTGCAACCATGTCTTCCTAAGAAGTTGATTTTTTTTTTTTTAAAAGGAAGTTGATTCTTAACCCCTTACTTGAAATTCACAGCTCATGAACAACATGCTCCCAATTTGGCCAGATCTTAAGTATGGCTCAGTGTTGACCACTTTTCTAAACATCTTTGAGAGGAAACAGCCAGATTCCATGTAGATGGATGAAAAAAACTCTTGTAAGAGTCACCCCTTCCCCATTTCTGCCCAAACTTCAAAAGTACTTACCTTCCTTCTCTTTCATTAGCACCTCAAAAGTTTACTTGTGGTTTTTGTTGTTTTTAAATGCTATTCCTTTAAAGAGTTCAAGGCACTGGGGATAATAGCAGATAGCTTTCTGAAATGGTTTACTTCAGAGAAAACCCAAGAGCCCCTGCCCCCTCCTGATACTGTATACGTATGAAGTATGGTATTTCATTAAATTCACCTAGATTTTAGGTTTCTTTTACATATAGACCTCTTAAGGGCACTGAGCACTTGTAATTTTTATGGCTAGAGTTTTAAAGGTATGTCTTCATTGGATTTTAAAAGGACCATCTTAAGAGATGGTGGGATAGTCAGTTTTGTTCTTGCATTTTCCTTTGGGTAAACTTGGGGAGAGGGTACATATAATAGATAATATAAAGTAGAAATTAAAAATTAAATGTTCCAAAAGGTATTTTTAATTTGAAAGGGATTTTTTTTTAAAAAAAGAGAAAGCCACTTTCATGTATAACAAGAATAATACCTATTTTATCAAAACTTGTCACCTAACCATACAGGACCATTGTTTTAATTAGTAAACTGGAGTAAAGTCTGGGATTACATCAGTTATAATGCTATTTCTGATTTCTGAAGATACATGAAAATGTTTGAATGGATTTTTTTTACTTGCTTAAACACTGCCTTGTGTTTGTAACAAAATTTTGAGTAGCAAAGGTGACAAAATGTCCTGTTTAAAGTCTGATGAACAAAGCCACACTACTGTCCAGGTTCTGAGACCTGGATCCCTGTTGATTTGAACCTTGGAATTGTTACCCTGTTAGAATTTCTATGACCTCTCAATTCTTTTTAGACAAATTCAGCATTATTTATAACATCAAAGTAATACAGAGAGAAGGAATCCAAAACAGTTCTCAGCCCTTTGTAAGATATGCCATTCATGGGTAGGAGCACCTTAATTTTGGAGGACTTAAAAACTGTCATCTCTATTAATTATCTGATGAAAATATGTCTTTTTGGTAATCTGATACAGCCATCTTTCTCATGTTAAAAAGTTCAGATATTGAAAAAATGTAGCTATCTGTAAGTGGATACCTTAAAAACTAATTTTCTTCCCTTCAAATGAGAAATACAGTGACTAAAAAGGGGAAGTATTTAAGTCTCTTGGGAGTAAAAGCCAAGGTGGTGAGATTAATGTAGCATAGTGTTTATACTAACACCCGTGAACTGGAGTTTGGTTGTTTTGCTGCCCTTCAGAGTTGGTGCCAGACCTTAAGCACTAGAGACTCTAGAAATTACTTGGTTGTCAAAAAGCTAGTCACCAACTCCGCTCAGGAGCAGAAGGTCCCTCCACCCTATTCACTAGTCAGTGTCCGGGCAGCCTCCAGTGCCTCTCACTGGCCATGTAAGATGGAGCTGCCAAGGAGAGGACAGTGAGAGAAGGCACGGAATAGTGTTGTCTGGCAGTGGGTGGGTCTTGTCCACGAACAGATCAGAGACAGAGAAGAAACAAAACTACACCTCAATAAAACCTTCAAACACACTAGGTAGCTAAAAGCAAAAAAATTGGAATGTGTCACTTAAGATTTGGGATGTATCACTTTTTAAAAAATTAACAGCTATTATCTTTGAGATATATAAAGAAACTGCATGCTGTCACATGACTGGAGTTAGAAATGGATAGTTACTGCTCTCAGATTTTCTTGGCATCACTGATTTTTAAAGATATCTGCTCTCCCAAGACAATAAAATAGAAATCATGGCTCAGGATGCCTTAACAATTCCCATGAAATCCAGACTGAAAAAAATGAAGGATGTTGATTTGGGGCTTAATCTAGATTGGAAGTACATACTTTTCCACTCAAGGAAATCTTAAATTATCTATCTAGCTTAATTTAAAAAGAAAAAAAATCAACACTGGGGTAACTGGATCCACTCTCTTGAACATAGAGCCACAGGTTGATAAGCACGGGCAATTACTTCTCTCAGTCTCAGTAGGGCTTGGCATCTGTACTCAGGTTGACTACATTTGTTTTGTATGTTGAAACTAACAATGTAGTATATTAAAGGTCACTTCATCATAGGAATAGCAAGCACAAATACTTGGTGAACAATTTGAAATATTAAAAAAATATCAAGTTGGGTTTTAAAAAGCACAATGACTTACATGGTCACTTCCTCCCTAACTGTGTGACTGCACTGAGCAGGGGCTGCAGATGTGAGGCAGGTACCACTCACACATCTCTGTGATGCAGTAGTACAAATACTATATTCTCCAATGAGTCTTGAACCACATTCATTGCAGTGACTTTCTCCTTGAGGGACAGGACCAAAAGATTTGCGTTTGGCACTGGTTATCTTTTCAACAGGCACAGACTTTCTTTAGAAGATATGTTCATTTGTAATTGGTGGGATGGCCAGTTTTTATTCTTACTTAAGAATAGCTCTAAGGTTGTACTTTACTACCTTCAACTTGTCACTGTAAGTTCATAAAAGTAGCAAAAGCACACAGAAGAGTGTGAAGCCCAGTAGGTCATCAGAGCAATGCTTCCAAGGTTTGCCCAGCTGTCTGCATTAGGCAGTGCCACTTACTGTCACTGGACTGTGACACTGCTCCTTCAGACACCTGGTTACCTACAAAATCTCTACACAACAAAGGTCTACTAGCTATGGATGAAATTATCAAAACTCATTTTGTTCAGGGTAATCCCATTCCCAAATGGATTCTTTGCATTGTAACTTCATGAATGAAATCTATACAGGGGCCAGATCAGTTTTTTTCTCTCCTGTAGGACAATTTGTAAAGAAGGCATTGCAGCAGGTGACTGCCTTTATAATGATGAACCAAATTGGGCACAGAGTATATATTTCATATTCAGACTATTCATGAATTCAAATATCTACAAATGCACACACTATATATGAAGGTAACTGTGACCTAAAGACATAACTAGACAGTACATTACATTGTGTACTTAGACATTCACAATAAAGCGAGAATCATGAAGCCAAGTTGATGAAGCTTTGCAAGACAGTACTGAAAGTAGCCAGGATCATAGCATTAAATATTCCTTGTGTTGTAGACAAAAAGCTTACCTGTGAAGACATCTCAAATGTGTATATCCACGGACAATGTCTTCTGGATTTCCCTTTCCTGCACTGTTTACCCGTTCTGTATAATGAAGGTTTTCCTGATGTAAAGTGCCCCTTTACATATAGTATTTAAGTGTGTCAGTCAAGCACTTCTAAATTCAGCCATTTGGGAAAAACTAAAGAAATAAAAAAGCCCTACCAGATACACCAAACATTCTGATGGTACTTTCTAGCTGAGAAACTGCCCATCTATTTCTTCTATAACACATGCACAGATGGGTGGCATGTGGTCAGATACAGGAAATACCTTCTAGTGTTTGGTCCAATCCATACAATAGATTATAAGTGACAACATATCCCCTCCTATGTCTCCTTCCACCCAAAATATATAAAACTCCATATTTGGATTAGGAGGCAAAAGGAATAAATAGAATCAGTTCTCTGTATATATACACATTCACAGATGTATACATATGTATATACACAATCTGTATAGCTGTGAGTACATCCATGCACACACACGCAGCACATATACACAAACACACACACACACAGCTGGACACTACCTGAATAACATATCAGGAGGCTCTGAACACCTGGATTCACAGATGATCAGATGAACTGATTGTAGAACTGATTATAGATAGCATGAAAATAAGTCTTGTGGCTACCAGTCTCTTGAGAGCTTAGTATTCTGGTCTCTCTTAGGAGGAGCGGGAGGGGGTCCTCTTCGCAATGTTGCATAGCCCGAAATATGACTACCTCCAAAGCCAGCCTTCTGCTGGTCAGACAGCAGCTCTGGTGGTGGTGGGGGTAGTGCCATGTCGTCCATTGTGGCTGTGGGTTCTGCTCTGGACACACGTGAGGAGGAGAGGGAGCCATGCCGCGTGATAGACTTGCGCTGCAATGTCCTGTTAAGATCAGCTAGGAATCCAGGCTGGACACTAAGGCTGGATTTAGGAGAGGTGGGCACTTGTGGCACAACTGTGGTCATCGCTGGCTGTTCAGAGATGTCAGCTTGAGTGAGGCGGGTACTGTCATTGCGTTTGGGCCGGGTGGCTCGGGGGCCCTTCTTTACTGATGTTTTAGACCATAGCTGTGGCTGAGGATTAACAACTGCCACTTTTGGGGAGGTGTTCCCCGAGAATACAGCTGGAATCTCGATAGGAGGCAGAGGAAGCTCTATTTCAGGTGGAGGGGGTGGAAAGTCAGAATCAGATGGTGGAGATGGAAATTCCACTACTGTGTCCTTTCCACGCCCACTCAGAACAGAAGGTTTTGCCGACACAATCCCTTGCTGGTGGATTCCAGGGAGGTTGACTCCAGAAAGGTGTAGTTTCCCAGGTTTAGGGGGTGCTGCAGGAGGTGGTGGGGTCTCCTTGCTGGGAGACCCTGATTCTGCTGGCGGTGCAAACTTGCTGACTAGACTGTCTACCGAGGGTCGCTTGGGCTCAGGGTGTTCTGCACAACTGCCAGACTTAATGCTGGAGTTGCGCTGAGGGGTTGGGGGTGGTTTCTTCCCCCCAGGGCTGGACATCTTACTTGTCTTTTTGCCTGGAGAGCCACCTTTGTCAGGGGTAGGTGAAGCCATGGGTGCCACTGGTGGTGGTGGTGGTGGTGGTGGTGGGGCTGGGGCTGGGGCTGGAGGAGGTGGTGGAGGAAACACCAGGCTGCTTTCAGGAGGGGGAGGAGGGAAATCTGGAGAAGGGACAGGGATTGAGCTGGGCTGCCATTTGGGTTTTGCTTTTACTGCAGGAGGGGACTGTGGGGTGACACTTGCTGGGAGGGATTTTAGGGGCTGAGAGTCCACAGGAGGAGGAGTGGGAGGGGGTGGAAATTGGCTGGCTATCTGCTTCACAACTGAGGGCACAGGGGACAGCGGAGAGGGCAGTGGCTTCATCCCGAAGCTCTGCTGCTTGGGTAGAGTTGGTGGGGGATGTGGGGTAGGCTGGATGGGGGGAGTGGGTGGAATATGAGAAATGGGGAAAACTGGCTGTTTCTTTGTGGGGGGCACTGGAGGTGCAGGGGTAGGTGGTACAGCTTGTGCTACTACTGGTGACACAGTCTTTGTGCTGGCTGAAGGAGGAATGGTCACCAGAGGTTTAGGGGGTGCTTGAGGAGGGACAGTTGCAGGGATGGGAGGAGCTGGTGGGGGTGTAGGAGGGGCTGCCTGAGGAAGATGCTGAACCTGATGAATCTTCAGTGGAGGAGGTTGGGGGCTAAACTGTGGTAGGGATGGGGCACATGGCACTGGCTTTAACTGGGCCATCGCTGAGCCAGGGGTTGGGGGTGGGGGAGGAGGAGGGGGTGGAGGAATAACTCCATTGGGGGGCACCACAATTTGAGCCTTGGACTGTGAAGCCGAAGGAAGAGGCTGCATCGTTGGTGGTGCTGGAGACTTAAACAGGGTCCCTGAATGCTGAGCTGCATTCTGCAGCCTGGTGATTGTGCTGTACTTGACAAACATGGTGGCTGCTGAGCCTGCAGACGGTGCAGACTGGCTGGGGAGAGGAGGAGGAGGTGGTGGTGGTGGAGGTGGAGGAGGAGGAGGTGGTGGCGGAGGAGGAGGCAGAGGCGGTGAAGGTTGTGAGGCAGTATAAGGGGTGATGATCTTAGTTTGAGGGGACAGAGGGGGCATAAGTGAAGTGTAGGACCGATTCATAGACTCCATTCTGGCCTAAAAGGAGTATAAAAAGGGAGTGGGAGGGAGAGAAACAACATAACAGTTACAGAGGTTAAGTTTTGGCTCCATGAAACTAAACAGCAAGGAATTCAGGACATGCATAAAGAGGATGCAGCAGATGGTGATTATAAAGACAGACAATGTCAGGAAGGGTTAAAATCTGATTTCCTGGGTAATGAGGACCTAGAAAATTTGTTTCACCCTGCAGTATTCTCTTAATAGCTACACTGCCTAACCATCTAGGAATGAATTCCTGTTGCAAAGCCATTTGGGTGGTGACAGGGTGTGTGATTTCTGCTCTTGGCTATGGGACTTTAACAAACCCTGCCCTATGCCCTCCTGTGCTCAAGAGTTCACCTTGTGTCCGTTACTGCATCCACATCAAGCAGATGCCATCTTAGGCTCAGGATGCTGGTGGAGGGCCTCCTGAGGAGTGAGGACGACTTTCTGATTCTAGTAAGCTGACATGTGAGAATGAGAATGCTCAGCAGGCGTGCACAGTCATACAGCAACGAATGAGCTTGACACACACTCGTGTTTGTGTGAAACACTTGCATCCACATGCACAGAAGTCCAGCAATGCAGGTAAGGGGGCGCATTCTTTACATTTGTTTTACTGGAAAATACATAAAGAAATGCTTTGTAAACATTACAGCAAAAGAAAAACATCACACAGAAGAAGTCAGAGGAATAAGAGGGAACTGTAAAGCTAAAGGAAATGATCAGGAAGCAGGAGCCAGGGTTTGCATTAAGTTGTCCATCACTCCATCTGGGTAGTACTCGGTCGGCATTGCTGAAATGACTACACCTGGCCTGAACCAACCATGCATAGACTTGTGGCTCAAGACCGTCTGAAATAGGAAGGGACGGGCTTTTGACTTAATGTCTTTGGGAACACTGTTTAGGCTCTTTGAACAACTGAAGAAATGAGGTACCCATCTGTTTTCAATTACAAATGATACCTAATTAGCCTTGAGGATATTTAAGTTAGTGAACTACAGTTCACTCATAGAGCTGAATTCTAATGCCTATCAGGATGCTCACGTTTCTCTAAAAATGATACATTAAAATAAAAGCATTAGTTTGTAAGATTTGGTTATAGGAGTCACCCAGGTTAATGTGTTTTCAGAGAACAGCCCCTGACCTTAACTTGACCCTGTCTTGGCTGCTTCAGGGATGTAGACCTTAGCTGTGTTGGCCTTCTCATATGGCACCTGAGACTGAGGTAACAGAAAAAACACACAGAGGGATCAAACAAACTGACAGTATGCATAGCAGGGTTCAATCTTTCTGAAACTATGATGACAGACTTTGCTTTCTAATCACAGAACATTTGGGTCTTCATTTTTTGTTGAATTTTATACAATGTGGTAAATAGGTAGTTTTACAATTTAAAATGCACATGGGTCTCACTGTTAATAATTGTCAGATAAAGTTATTTTTTTGTTTGTTTGTTTGTTTTTTTGTTTTTGACAGTGGTGGGAAATCTAACCAGGACTTTTGTGCATGCTAGACAAGTGCTCTACTACTGAGTTACATCCCCAGCCAAAGCAAAGATTTTTTCTTTCAAATATTTACATGCCTAGAGTATTAGTTCCGTCTAAGTTGGTGCATAAGGAACTGGGATTGGTGACACTGACATTGAAGGACAGCCAGGAAACTCAGTATCATGGACTATGTCAAAACAAAACAAACCGGGGCGCAGGTCTGTGGCAGAGTGCTTGCCTAGCATCTGCAGAGTCCTAGATTCAATTCCTAGTACTTGAAGGAAGATTTTAAGGTGGAAGAAAGAATTACTTAAAAGTTTTTGATAGAGGAGTTTACCTGTGTTTAAAATTTTTATGTCATTAAAAGAAATTACTTTTGTTTGCTTGTTTGCTGAGACAGAGTTTCTCTGTGTAGCTCTGGCTGTCCTGGAACTCACTCTGTAGACCAGGCTGGACTTGAACTCACACAGATCCTCCTGCCTCTACTACAGGAGTGCAGGGATTAAAGGTGTCCACCATTACACGCGGCTTAAAAGCAATTATTGACTATTTCCACACCTCCTACCTTCTTGCCAGTTAAATCAACCACATAGGCAAATTATGTAATTAATTTGTTCTAAGGAAAAATTTGTGAATGTGCTTGTATTTGTGACTCAGATCAAAAGAACAAAACAGTCAAAATGATGACTGTAAAAAGCAAAATATCCAGGGCACCACTGGTTCCTCAAGGATGGAACACAGCCTTTCTCACTGAAGTGGGGACTACACCCAGGCCACAGCCTTTCCTCCAGGAGTTCTGAGGCTATTTGAGGACTACCGTGTCTTTCAACTGACCTTAAATAAAAAGCTTGTAGGGTAGCTCTCAAGTCTTAGCAGAGAAGTTTCTTTATGTAGGAGACAGTGGTTAATGCATAAACTCACAACAGGACAACAGGAAGGGACTGTGCAGACAGTAAGGGACTGTGCAGGAGTGCTCAGCTACCGTGGGATATCTATAGATCATTCCCCTCTCCTCAGGGCTCAGGGAGCACTGTGGAGGAGAGGGAAGAAAACGTTTTCACTAGAGAGGACCCAAGTGAAACTGTTTCTTCAGGCATGATAAATCCACTGTATTAATGAACTCAGCTGTGGTTGCCTGCACAAAAGCAGGCACGTGAGCATATAGAGTAAAGGGGTTCATGAGCCCCCACCTCTAACTGAGGAATAATTGACAGTTGATAGCTTTTGGAGTATGGGAGAATCAGTTTTCTTTAACGATGTGGCTCCTGGTAGGTGGACCATGTTTCAGTGGACAGCTACCTATGTGTATATCATTAGCACAAATTGGACTGACTCAGTGGATTATTTAAAGAAAAAAATAAAGCAAATAAAATTGGAAGGAGTCAGGGGAATATGATCAAATTTCACTGTATTGTCTAAAATTCTCATAGTAAAAAACTCTCAACATTATAGTCCATAATAACGATAATCATTCTAAAGTGTTACTGAGGATCATGCAAGACTCAGGAGTCCAAAATTTGAAGAATGTTTGAGAAAATTTATCGATGCCTAGACTTGTCCTCAAGACTGAAGACAAGGAATGAATCTGAATTTATTAAAAATGAAGAATTGTAAGCAACTTCTCTGGAACTTTAGGGCAGTGGCACTGCATGATGTTGCTGCAGCAAACTGGTTACAGTTGAAAGGGGAGACAGTTAAAAGAGAGAATAAATAGCTGTCATTAAAAAATGAAGATCTTAGGTCACTCACTAGTCACTACAGACAATGCTAAAATTGTTTCCCCATTATAATTAAGATTGAAGATCTAAGGAAGAACAGTGAAATGGTGCCAAATCAGACCCTAAGAAAGGAATAAAGCGTACAGGTTAAACACTGGACAACACAGATTTGTATGTGAAGTAAAACTTGTGTATTACCTTGCTGGACTCTTCCAACTGAGTGCCTCGCTTCCAGGCTTCGGAGAAGATGGAGCTCACAGTACTTTGGGAACGGATGTGTCCAGTAGGCAGGGTGTCAGACACTCCACTGTCAGACTGATTAGAGTGATTTGACTGAGACTCTGTTTAAAATATTTAAAGAATCAAATCAAAGTCAATGAATATATTCTAGTAGAAAAGCCTTAAGTTAGTTAGAAATTGACTCCTTTTTTTAAATATTTCACAATGAGAGACTGGCACAAGTCATTAGCACCCTAAAAATCAACTCTGAACAAGTTAAAAACAACAAAAAGAAGTACTGGAAGAGGCTCACTGTACTGTTCAGGAACCAGCACGAGGTGTGAGTCACTGTTCATGGTGCTGATTCCTTGGCTAAGCACCATTTGTTGGCTTTCTCCACTGTGAATTTACTGCTTTCTCAACCCTACTTCCTTTCTAAGTAAGTCACCATGTACAGCCCTTTAAGAGGGACAAAGTGCGTGTAAAAATCATTTAGAAATATTTTGTAGGGCTGGAGAGATATCTCGGTCTCAGGAGTGTGTCCTGCTCTTGTAGAGGACTTGGATTTTGCACCAGTATACAGTTGTAAGCTGCCTGATGTGTGTGCAGGGGCCCAATTCCCTCTTCTGGCCTCAGGCACACCTGAATGGTATACACAACTCATGTAAACATACACATATGCATAAAAATAAATAAATCCTTCTTTAGAGGCTATCAATTTGAGAGTTGGGGGAGGCATGGATGGAACTGGAGGAAGGAACAAAAGGTGATGTCATTATATTTTAATTAAAAATATATTTTAAATCTTTTAAAGTATTTTGTATGGGAGGTTTATTTCTTCCTTGTTTATTTGTTTATATTAGCATGGATTCACAGTGATGCATCTTATAATTTGGTTATAATTTTAAAACTACATAGTATATATTTTTCTTTTTTTTTTCTTCCCCCTCCCCCACAAAGTTCTGTCTGCCTTGGAATAAACCAATGTATGTAGCCCAGGTTGTCCTCGAATCTGGAGAGCTACCTCTGCCTCCTCAGTGCTGTGATTAAATGTGTATACCACCACTCCAGGCCATTGTATAGTTCTTGTTCTCAACATTATTCCAGCTTTGGACACTAAAGCTCTTTCATATTGCACTTGTATCCTTCTGATAAACCCTTAGCGCCTATCTTTGAGTACTTTTGCTTAAGGCCCATCTTGTATATCTGCCACAGCCTTAGAGTCAGCCATTTGCCCAAGAGCAGTGGTTCCTTCTTTTGGTGGCTGGGTGGTGGGCAATCTCATTATTATTGGGGCATCACATTTCTAGGATCCTTCAATGGACAGAACTAGAAAATACATGTCTGCATGGGTTATGTACATTACATTCATACAAGTTAGTATATACATATCACAATTTCCAAATGATTTTTATTATTTAAAGATAATGTCAAATCATAAAATTTTTAAGTCATTCAGCAATGATATGGATTATCATTGGAAGGATTTTGAAAGAAGCACTTAACTGAAGATGTGAATACAGCATACCTATTTAAAGACGTGAAACTCTAGAAGCCCCTTGGAGTGTAACTGTGAATACTAGAAAGTGTGATAGCCTAAATGGCTTCCTTAACTGTAATTCTGAACTAGCTGAAATGTCAGGAAAGCTGTGTAGAGTGCAGCGTTCTGATGGACTGAGTGTATCTCCAAGCAGCCTGTGTATCATATGTCTTAGCAGTATGTGTTTTAAAATAAACTTCATAAATACAAAACCCAACACTGCATTAGAAATATATTTCAAATACTCAATTGGTCCACAACATTGTAACTGAGAAACAAAAGTACTCACTGATTATAATTTGGAAATTAGATATGGCTGTGGGGTGGCAAATTCTAACCCTCTTGATAAGGCCATCACACTTGTAGTCAAATAGTGCTGTGTGGTATGCTAACCTACCCGGGATACTGGAAGAACTGGATCCAGATTTAATGCTGGAGCTGGATAAAGAAGTCCAATCATAAGCTGACTCTGTCCTCTTCAAGGCTTCTTGGTAATTCGTGTAGAGCTGCTTCCCATACTAAGCAAAAGGGAACAAACGGTGGTATATAGCCCTTAGCTGAATGGAGAAGGTCATGGGGACGGGAGGGAAATGTTTCTGTGTACTAGTTCAGTATAACACCTGTTATACCCTACATAGTCCTTAATACTAGAGAGTTATGTTCATACTCATTTTCCTTAGTTCTAAGAACAGCAGGAAGCTAGCCAATTTTAATAATGTTAATAGAAATAAAAGTTTTATCAATCCAAATTCAAGAGATCTAGGGCTAGATACTATTTAGTGACATGCCCCAAATATACTTGAAAAATAAACATAATTTAAAATTTTTATTTGGGTGTTGGAGAGATCTGCAGAGAACAAGAGCAGCAACAACAGAAAAGCCTATTTTGCTTAGGCTAAAACTTGGTTATATATGAATCATATAAATGCACTCTCCAAACCAGAAACAAATCACTTTGATGCCATACAAGCTAGCAGTATCATTCCACTAACATGGTTCCCAACCACCAAGGAAAAAAGGCATTTAGAACATGAACTTAGGCCTGAGGAATCTAGACACTAGCAGAGTGATGAGCATGAAACAGTCAGACCCGCTGTCAAGAACCCACAGCATTTAATTAACCACTTCATTATTCCAACACCAAATGGAAAGGCAATGTACCTTGGCAATGCGGATTCCATTAACCCACTGATGCAGAGTCCTTGCGTCATCACAACAAAGGTACTTGATATACTGAGACTTCTTTTGGATCTGTGGGTGCTATAAAATTAAAGACAGAATCCAACTAATAAGTCTTCTAGAGAACTGACACTTAGACATATTCTGGTAACTTACAATCTTAGAGAAATGTCAACACCGTGCATACTTCTTATACAACCATAAAGTGAAATAAGGCAGCCCATACTTAACTTGTTTTAAACAAAGTACACATCATGTTAAATTTTAGGTTAAGATGTCCATGTAAACCTTTCTACCTGGGAAGTTCTCAAGTATTCCTTTTACATGTCAAAGAAAAATTCTCTTAAGATTAAACCAATAGAATTCTCAGCTCTTGAGATGGAAAATGGAAAAAAGAATGTCTATCCAGGAACCCATGGTTTAGAAGCTCCAAAGCAGTTCCTTCCTTGTGGTAAACAACTATACTAGGTATGTATGGAACATACATAGCAGCACCTAGGACAGAAGTCCATGGTCACACCTGACTGGTGGGACAATAGGCTTCTTTCTCTACCAAACCACAGCATGCACTCTTTGGTGGGACAAGAGGATATTGTTGAAGTTTGTTCTGTTCTTGCAGTATTTACTTTATTAAAAATTAAAGTGAAGGCTGGAGAGATGGCTCAGTGGTTAAGAGCACTGACTACTCTTCCAAAGGCTCTGAGTTCAATTCCCAGCAACCACAATGTGGCTCACAACCATAATGTGGCTCACAACCATCTGTAATGGGATCCAATGCCCTCTTCTGGTGTGTCTGAAAACGGCTACAGTGAACTTATATACATAAAATGATTAAATCTTTAAAAAAAAAAAAGAAATGAAAATGAGAGTAAAAAATTAAGACAGAAGAACAAAACTCTCCCCAAATACCCCTCAATAGCCAAGAGAGCAAAAATATTACGGAACCTGTGAGAAACTCCACTGTACTACACTAGAGAATGAGAATGGCATGTGATATCTCAGTATTACAGACCTAATGTCGATACCAGGGTCTATGGGTTTCCCAAGGGCCCTTGGACTTTATTTTGCAAACCACTAGCTGAAGTTACCCCATGTGAACTTCCTAAAAATTATTTGCTACTGCAGGGCATGGTGGTACACACCTGTAATCCCAGTAGTCTGAAGACCTAGGCAGGAGGAGCCCAGGTTTGAAGCTAGGGTGGGCTACACTGCAAGGCTGCCTCAAAAAAATGAAAACAAGCCAAAAAAAACCAAACCCAAAACAAAACAAGTTGCTTCTGTTACTATCCTTGATTATGCATTGGTGTTGTCTAAGAAAGTTTGTTGAGTAAAGGATGATTGCTATTACAATGTACCCATCTTACCAATGAAATTAAAATCTCCTACCAAATCCTGAGCAAATGGTACTCCCTAAATCCAACTAACATGCAGATCTAAATGAGGATGGAGCTGGAGCCATAAAGTCTCAGCAATTCTTCCTGAATCTTTGTAGGCTGTCTTTATAAATGTTAATTTAGATCTCTAAAAATGCTAAAATATGCCTACTCTTCTGCACCGTATGGTCACAACTGGTGTGAGGAACTTAAACCTGGCTGAGAGAAAAAAACCTCCCTAATAACAGCATAGATAACAGACTATTGTGGCTATGATTCATGAGAGTGGTTAGGGTAGAGACTCCTTATTTCTGGACCAGTAAGTGGGTGAATTTACAACTTGGGAACAGTGCCTTCTGATGCGTCTTCTAATAAAGTTCAGGACAACAAAAAAATGTGTCTCTCTCATAAGACAGGGTCTGGCTTCACACTCCTGATTCTGTCTCTTCTTCCTGAGTGCTAGGATTTTTGGTGTAAGTTACTAGACCAAACTTTACCCTTTACCATGTTCTCCCTGGTGCTAAGGATGGAGCTAAAATGCTTAACTGCTGAGTTACCTCTAGTCATCCTATCCTTTTCCAAAGACACAGAATTACCTGCTAAATATCCAATGTCAAGTAACCTCTATCAAATACCAATTAGAATTTACCTTTAACGCCAGACAGCAGTCTGTGGGTGCTTTGTATTTGTTCCGATAGTCCTGCCCATAGTATACATTTACATGATCCAGCTGGAGAAAGCACACTAGATCCCGAGATACCTAAGGAAAAACACCCCCAAAATTAACATAATAGGGCAAATAAGCAAGTATCATACCATGTAAGGGTTTTTAGTTGAGAAATCTTTATTAGGTAAAAAGTAAGATTAGATTTTTCTACAGACTAAAAAGTAACCAGAAAGGCAGTCCAGTTTGCTTGTTATCTATTCCTAATGAATACTGATTTGTTTAAAAATGTTGGTACTTTATAAAGAAGAGACTATACATAGTATATATATCGCATATAATAAATAGGTAATAGGAGAATAGCAACACTCTTGGGAAAGAACAAGAATCTACCAAGTAGCTGAATGGGTATAAAGCAAACATCAAATACAGTGATTCTCCGCTGGGAATTACTTCAGCAGTCAGAGGAAACAACTTGTGCTCATAGCTTATAGGACTAGGATGATACTGTAAATGCTTAGAAGAGCTCTGAACCCAAAACAAGCATAAATGACAGCTTGCACTTCAGTAAAACCACACTGCACAAGATTGAAGTCGACGTGATCCTAGAAAGCCATTCACCCTAAATGAAATACATGACTCTGGCAAGACCTCTCCCTGCTCCAAATAACAAAACTATGTTTAGCTGGATATAGTCATGGATACTTGTAACCCCAGCACTTTAAACCTGGAAGAGGCGGAGTCAAGAGGATCAAAAGTTCAAGGTTATCCTAAGCTACAATGAGTTTGAGGCCTCACTACATAAACTACATGAATAAGATCCTCTTTTAACCACCACCACCACGACCACGACCACCACCACGACCACCACCACCACCACGTAAATGGGGGAAAATGGTGGAGAACTGAGATGAACCCAACTAATGATCAGAGAAATGAACAGTTTTTAGTTTCTGCTTCTTTACAACAGATTAATAAATTAAGCCATCGCTGGGCAGTGGTGGCGCACGCCTTTAATCCCAGCACTTGGGAGGCAGAGGCAGGTGGATTTCTGAGTTCGAGGCCAGCCTGGTCTACAGAGTGAGTTCCAGGACAGCCAGGGCTACACAGAGAAACCCTGTCTCGAAAAAAACCAAAACAAACAAACAAACAAACAAACAAAAGCCCCCAAAATGAAGCCATCTTTTGTGTGCCTTACACTGGTAAATAGTATTTTGCTACATAGTAAAAGCAGCTAGCATAATGTGGGAAGACAGAAGGACAGAGAAGGGACATACCTTTGCTTTTCCTTTAGGGACATAGTAGATACCAGATGCTCGCAAGAGAAAGTAACGCTTTTTCCAGGACTTCTTGCCATCATCTTTCAACCAAAGGACTCCTTCAATTTCTGGGACAGTTACAGAACTTCCACAAAAACATTCCTTAAAAACATCATTTGGAAAGATTTATGATTCTTATATTTTCAGAAAATGAATTATCCCTGTGAGACGCATAACACTAAGCAAAGCAAAATGGTTTTGTATTAAAATCACACTAGCTTTCTGAAAGAACTGTTTCTTCTAAACACAGTTTAAGTTTACTTTAGAATTACTGTGGCAATCCTGAAGTGTTTACTATTACTAACAGCAGTGTGAGTCATGGGTTGCGGAACTGGCTCAGTGGGCAAGAGTGTCTGCTGTGCTAGCATGAGGACCTCACAGTTTGAATCCTTCCACCAACATAAAAAGCTGGGTATGGCTGGATGTGCAAAGGGGATAAGGTAGATGAGAGAAGAGGGCCTGAGCATTCTCTAGCTATGTCTGCAGATATGGCTGTGTAATCCTGCATGTTCATGTTAAACACAACACACACCACAGCACACAAAATGTCTGCCATGACTATAATAAAGTATTTTCCTATGAACTCAGCTGAGTTGTATATACTACTGCTGAATCCCATTTCTTCTTTTGTGTTTGTGGTTATGTGTACTGTGTGCGTGCATATGTGTGGAAGCTAACGGCTGATGTTAGGTCTCTTCCTCAGTTGCCTTCCACCTTTCTTGTGAGACATGCTCTCTTACTGGAGCTCAGTGGCTGGGCTGACTGGTTAGTGAGCTCCAGGGGGGGGTACCTGCCTTTTATGTAGTTGGCAGGGGCTATGAACTCAGGTCCTCATGCTTTCTCAGCACATACTACTGACAGAGCTGTCTCTTGCCCTCTGCCAAAGGTGATATGACCAGCAGAGTCACATTTCTCTTTCTCTTATCTTGCAGCTCCTAAGAGGTTTGTTATTAGCTCAGCAGGCGCACAGAGCGAGCACTGACAGCCGATGTCAGGGGTGGGGTCATACCTCTAACAGCACTTCTTTGTTTCTGTCTGCCATCTCAGCTGTTTCCTTTTTTCCTAGAAGATAATTCTAAAAGATAATGAAATGAAAATTAAAGGATAAACTCATTCCGCTATTCCCTTGGAGTAAATACATACATCATTTGCTCCAGTCAAGTAACCACTATAAGTTTAGTTTTGCCAGACTGTAGTGAGATTACTCCTTCAAAAGCTTCCTCCCTAAGAGTATCATCATTAAAATGTTCTGTATCCACTTCCATCTTGCCCAAAACACTTGCTATGAATTATTCTCTAGACTATTCCTGAGGTGACAATATATGCAACAGCAAGTATTTTGAAATATTTAACTAATTATACAAAAAAATACCCCAAAGAATTATAAATTAAGTAGAAGAAATAAGGTACAATTTCCTGAGATATACTAAGCCAGCACACTTTTATGCTGGACTGAGCAGAGTGTTCTAGGCGATGATTCATATTCTGGCTTTGATATAACAGTGTCATTTGCTTAGTTTAATTAAAGTCTGAACTGTAACCATTAGTATAACTATTCTCTTAGTCTTCTACAAAAAGATCCACTGATACTCCTAAGCATACACTCTTCATTAAAGAACTGCAATTAAGTCTGAGGAATACAGACTGACTGTCTAACCTACTGCTGTTTTTCTCATTGCTGTTTTTTATCGCAGAGTTTTTGCTATTCCTGACCTAGTGGGAAGGAAGTGGGGAAACAGGAGTGGGGTGGGGGAGGGGTGGGAAAGGTGGAGGAATAGATGACAAAAGTAGATGACAAGAATAAAGTCTGTCTGGAAACCCAATAATGAAACACAGTACTTTATATGCTGATTTTTAAAAGGTACGGGTGTGGTGAAGTATTAACCCAAACATTACATTGGCATAATAAAAGATGACAAGCCCACAAAGGTAGTATTTAATTCAGCAAAGAAATTAAAGAATTAGCTGTATAAAACCCTTGGGCTGCTTGGTGAGATGAGAGCCTCAAATGTTAATGAACTGCTGGGCTCAACAAGCTCTGGATTTACACAGAAGAAACCTAGCAACCTCTTGGAACTATTTTTATTTTTATCAAAGTTTACCCCCATGTGGGGCTGGGAACCCTTCTGAGGCCCAACACCTGGTCCCCAAACACATAGTGGTTTGCAGCTACAATGGCCAATCATGTGGTTGTCAGACTTTTAACTCTACTGACTCAGCACTCTTAAGTTACACAATCTTACCTGGGGGTTTTTAAAAAGTGCATATTTTTCTATACGCTCCATAAATATAAGCTTATTTTGGCTGTCTCTTGTCCAATTAAGAAGATTTTCAACCAAGTTTTCATGGTCTTCAAAGATTCTTTCTGTCCCAAAATCAAATACCAGCTTTTTGTTAGTATTCATCCAAATTACATGAAAGGAAAGATAAAACACATTAGAATTACACAATCTTTGTGAGTGTAGAGGCCAGATGTTGATGACGGATATTGTCTTCAATTGCTTTCCACATTACATTTTAAAACAGTCTCTTACTGAACATGAAGATCACCAGTTTAGTACACTGACTGGCCAGCAAGCTCCACCACCCTCCTCTGTCTGTCTCCCCAGTGCTGGAATTATAGATGCATGTTTCTGTGACTGAGTTTTTTACTTTAAACATGGGTTCAGGGTGGTGGTAGTAGTGGTGGTGGTATGTGTCAGACTAAAATACACACATAAACACACACAAAACAATACTGTACATGTGTTAAAAGTGTTCTTTGAAATTTGTTGATGTGCTTTGTTTTTTCTTAAATACTTTTGTACAAACACTAGGAAATAATAACAGCGTTGGGCTGGAGAGACAGCTCAGCACCAAGAACTCTTGCTGTTCTTATAGAGGACCCAGGCTCAGCTCTCGGCACAACTGACAAGCACCTGTAACTCCAGTGCCTGAGGACCTGACACACTCTTCTGGCTTCTCCATGCACATGACATATATACATACATGTAGATACATAAAATAAATGAAAATGTAAACATCTTTAATAGTAGTTTTTAGTACATTTAATTATGCAACTCTTATTCCAAAGAAAAAGTATCTGTTATCATTAAAAACTTTGCTTTAACCATTTAAAAAATATGAAGTGAATTGGAATTCATCTTTTATTCAAAGAACTCCCCAGATAACTAGGAAAAACATCAAAAAGCCAGATTTTAAAAATATAAAGTGCCTGATAAGTTTATAGAAAAAAAGCATAGATATTTCAAAATGTTCCTATCAATATGAAGGTTCAGGATTACATAGATAGATGCTAATAAGCAATTCGAGAAGTGGCATTACTAACCCATTTGTAACTCGGAAACTGTCTCCACCAGCGACCAGTCTGAACTGTAGCCACAGTGAGATTTATCCATTAGGTTGTCTAGCACTTGTCTCACTGTCTGTCTCTCGTCCACCATCATTGTTTTAGAGCTGTCATCAGACATGTGGACCCTGATCACCAGCTGTAACAGGGAAAAATGCAATTAAGTGGTAACTTAAAAAATGGTATTCTAGAAAAGTATTTTTCAAATATTAAATAGCATTCTGATCCATGTCTTTGAATATAAATTATTCAATATACTGAATAGAAATATAATAGAAATATTGTGACTACTCTGACACTATTATTATAGATAAAATCTGAGTATCAAGAAACCTACCTAAATAAAATAATCGTATTTTAAAGGCCTCTTGAGTTAAGCATTCCAGGACCTGCCCAGAAGCAAAGTCTTTCTTAAAGCATCTCACACACAAAACCCACATGTGAAAAAACATGAGGAAGAATACAGTTTTATCTTTCCATAAATTAGAGATACATTATATATAAACAAGAAAATTTGTCACAAAGCAAAACAAGACAAAAGAAAACAAACAAACAAACAAAAAAAACAAGATAAATATTTCAAACCCAGCAGAGCCACAAGTCACCTTTTTCACTTGAGCCTCTTTAATTTTCTCCAGAGCAACTCGGATCTTCTCAGCTTTCAGTTTTGCTGCCTGTTCTTCCTGCGAACACAAAGCATCTCAGATAAACTGCTGCTCAGAGGGTGAGGACACCAGTGAAGACTCCATCCTTGTGAGGCTACTGGACTGAATTTCATTAAGAAATGATGTTGCACATGTGTACTAAGCACAATTTTAAAGCGGCCTGTTCACAAAATGAAATAGACATGCTATAGGAAGAGAGCACAGGTTCAGCAATAGGATTAGCTTCCATATTCCAGAGAAAAAGAAAGAAATCTGCAATGTAGTAAATTAACTTTGATTCTGTCAACATAAAAGCAATCAACTTTCAAGCTCTGGGCTTGGGGACACGATGCAGACGAGCTGCCCCTGCTTGCCTATTTGCTATGCTCACATGACTTTCAATTCAGACTCCCTCCAGAGTTTATGTAAGATTTCTGTACATTGATTTGTTTCATTGCATTGAAAATTTAAGATCTTTGGAAAAATATAAACAGCAAAACCAATCTACTTAGTTGTAATAATACAAAGCCCTCAACAAAAAGTATGTATACAAATACTGACTCTTGCCAACATGCTAATACAAACAAGAGGCTGCCTTATATTGAAGTTTTACTGACTTGGAAACCATGCCACACAATCATATAAGTAAATTCAAATTTATTAATTTATCAATAAGTCTTTTTTAAATGCTAAATATAACTCACAAATAACACAACTGTAAGTAATTCTACTTCAGAAAAGCTAAGATTATAAACTATGGTAAAAATTATGAAGAACTAAAAATAAAGCATTGTCCCTTTTTCTAATAGCATACAGTTTTCAACACTAATACTTACTGGTAAGTTCCAGCAATAGGCCATAATAAACACTGTAGCTGTAATTTCCAATTTAAAAAAAAAATTCATGTAAGTAAACTTCTGTTTATAAAGAATTATTTTCTATTTCTGAGTATAAAACATTAAAATATCTATGTAATTGTCATCTTCTACAATCTTTTAATATACTTTCCTTTAAAAAACAAAAGCAAAGGAAAACCTAATTATATCAGCCATGTTTTATCCTCTCTGGATTGTGCCCGAAATGCCACAATCCACATCTTGGTTTTCATAAAAAGCTAACACTTCCAGGGCAGGGAAAAAAAAAAAAAAGGCTAAATTCATTTACTGATTTTTTTTCCCTATTCTCCAAAATTCTGATAGCTTTCTTCTCTTTTCATTTCCTACTATACTGTCTCTCCTTGCAAGCTTACATTACCCTCCCATGGACTCGAGAAACAGGGAGCAGGGAAAGGCAGTGAGCTTATGTGCCAGAAACTGGATCCCTTTCAATGAATGGAGCCACTGAATTAACAGACTGACCAAGGCCTGGAAACACTATCTGTAAACCCAATAGTCAGAACAAAGAACTTTATTTTAATAATGAAGAGGATTAATACTTATTCTTGTACTATTATATTCTTCTAACTAAAAGACTATATAACCCAATCCTTTCCTTTAAACAAATAAATAGCATCATAAAATATGCTATAAAATTTGAATATAAGATTTTTTTCTTTTGAAAAAAGGTAATAAGAATCAAACTAGTATTATTAAAACTGTTTTTAAATTGGAATCTTCTAGAACTGAGAAACAAAATCATTATTAAACAAATCACCAAATATAATACACAATTTTGGTGAATACACTAAGGCTCAATAGAGGAATTTGAAATACTTTAAACAGTCTAGTAATTGAGTTCATAAAAAAAATCACAATAAAGCATTCACCACTGCCACATCCTTTTATTGGAATGAATAACTGCTACAGACAAAGAAAAATTTTCCAATCTATTCTTTTACGCATTTTATTTACATCTCTGAAAAGGAAATTTAAAGTCTATTGGGGGAGAAAGCATTGGAATCAATGCTTTATATATTTGAAATATAAACATAAACTTCTAAAAGTAAAATATTTAAAACTACACTTGCCATTATTTTATGTGTACATATATTTGACCTGCATATATGTATGTGCACTGCATGTGTGTGGTACCTGCAGAGTTCAGCCTTGAAATTGATGATTGTGAGCTACTATGTGTACTGGGAATAAAACCTGGGTCCTTTGGAACTGCAGCAACTATTAACCACTGAGCTATCTCTTCAGGAAAACATGGAAAAGATGGTTAATAGTCCTTACCACCCAGAAAGTGCAAGTTAAATGAACAAGATCCTATACATTTACTATGCTCCAAATCCAACACACCAGCACCAAATGCTGGTGAGGATGTCTACAAAAACCTGCACATGGATGCTTATAGATGCTTTATTCAGAATCATCCAAACTTGAAAGCAACAAAGATTTCCTTAATAAGTGAACAGATAAATTATGGTGCATCCTGGCAATTAAATATTATTCAGCACTAAAAAGAAATGAGCAATGAAGCAACAAATGGGTACAGTGGGCCCATGTATTAATAAATAAAAGATTTCAATCTATAAAAGTTACATGCTATATAGTCAATTGTAACTATACTATGCTCTGAAAGGGCAGTAAAAAGGATCGGTGGTTGTCAGGGGTGAAGAAGGAAGCAGGATATTATCAGGCAGACTGCAGAGGCCTTTCAGGGCAGTGACACTACTGCTTCTCATAGTACAGTGGATGATAAGCAAAACTGCCTTAAGAATATATTTAAAAAATTAAACAAATACTGTACTTGGATTAGTTAGAAATACAATAATAGTGCTTTCATACTGCCATTTTACTTTAGGATACTACTGTTTGTCAAATTCCATGACAGGGCTTAGCTTAACTCAGCTCATGATCAGCTCCTGCTCCGCACACTGAAGTACTGAACAATAAGAGAACTGGGCACCCAATTAACATAATCTGATCAATTACACTTCGTATACATCAAGAAGGAGTTAGTTTTTAAATACAAAACAGGTAAAGCTCTCCTAATAAATTCAAGTTCAGCATTCCTTTTACCTATAAAAATTAGTCAATGTAATTTCATTTTTAAAATTGTTTTCAGGGCTTTGTATATAATAAGCAAGTAGCTACCTTGTCTCTGGTCCTTATAAACTGGTCTACGAAAGTTAATATCAAATTTCAGAGCTAGCTGTTTAATTCCAAGATAAGTAAATTTTAGTTTATTATTCTCTAGTTTAATGCAAGGATGATCTTTCTAGAAACCTTTTGAAGAAACAAATCTGGCTACAGTGAGATCTGAATCTCATTACTGGAAACAAAACTGTAAATAAAAATAATCAGACAGCATGACCCATGGTTCCTGTAGGTCCCACGCTCTTCTGTGAGTTTTATTTGTATTTTCTAGATAAACCATACCTTACTTTTTTTTTTTACCATAGTAATATTAGGAAAAAAAGAAGCCATGTTGTACAGTAAGGAGACAGATGACTAAATCTGTGTGGATGTATGTGGATGATATATGGAAGGCTAAATTCATCAAGGAGGTGCTAACCCAGGCTCACTAATGCAAAGGACAAAGCCTCCTTCATCCTGTTTTCTACTAACAGCTCAAACCTTCAGTTTTCTGCCCGTTCTCTTTGTACACTAGCCCTTTCTTCATGTTGTCTCTCAACTATCCCAAACATAGTAAGAGACACCTCACTTACATAAAAACAACTTTCTCTCCTCTTCCTTCTCTTAAAAGAGCAAGAGACAACCCATTTTCTACTGGAAAAACTCCTATGTGGCTATCAATAACCATCAAATGCCAACCCTCCTCAAATTTGCACACAGGACAAAACCTGGGTAAAGATCTTACGATTAAATGAAAACCAATGCTGGGTAACAACGTTCTCTGGGGTGTAAACACAGAATGTCAGCACTCAGACAGTTCCAGTGGCTGAGGGACTGGTAGAAAATGACTGCAACTGAGAAACCAAACAAACAATGAAACTAAGGAGCTTAAGAGTGGTTTGTAATTTCTCTGGAATCATAGACTGCAAAAATTAAAAAGTAACAAATTAACTCAAAGAGAACTTGAAGTGATAATTTAACATTTATTGGAAGCTCTACTGTATAATGTGGCCTAGAATCAGAAGAATTATAGTTAACTATGTCTCTTAAGAAATCATGAAATTGGCCGGGCAGTGGTGGCGCATGCCTTTAATCCCAGCACTTGGGAGGCAGAGGCAGGCAGATTTCTGAGTTCGAGGCCAGCCTGGTCTACCGAGTGAGTTCCAGGACAGCCAGGGCTGCACAGAGAAACCCTGTCTCGAAAAACAAAAAAACCAAAAAAACAAAAAAAAAAAAACCAACCAAACAAACAAAAAAAAAGAAATCATGAAATTATATTAAACTCTTATTAAGAAAGCTAACATTAATTAAATATCTAAAGCTTGCTAAACCACAGTTATATATGATATCTAATTTAAATTTCTACAAAAATACAAGGCTTATATGATTATTAGAGCCACTGTACCAACTAAGACTCACAAAATTACTGTTTTGCTAAGATCATACACATATTTATTAAGCGCTTAACTATGCATTCATTATACCATAACTTATTTCTATTGTCCTTAATAGTTTATAGTCTTAGATTTTGTGGTACCAATAAATAAACTCTTTGTTAAAGACATAATGTAAAAGCATTTTAGCATCTTTTTTGAAGCAAAGAAAACGATGGTTACAACTAGCATGTTTTTTTTTTAATTTTATGTGCACTGGTGTTTTGCCTGCGTGTATGTTGGAATTACAGATAGTTGTGAGCTCTCTTGTGGGAGCTGGGATTTGAACCTGGGTCCTCTGGAGAAGCAGTCAATGCTCTTAACTGTTGAGCCATCTCTCCAGCCCCTTAGCCTTGTTCTTAAACACTGGCAGACATCTGGAGGTTGGGAACTGGGATACCAAGCTTTATAGTAGAAAGCCAAATTGCTCTACAGGTTGGTATGTCAGAGGTACACATACTTGGGACCAAAAGGTACAGCTCAATGCACAGAGAATATGTTGGGTATATGAAATGTTCTGAGTTCAGTGCCCAGCACCAAGGACACATAGTTTACAAGAGCTAGGTGTTTTGACAGAAAGGGCACT